GTTCATTGATGCTTTATTTATAATAGCAAATTATTGGATATAACACAAATGTCCATCAAGAGTAGAGAGGATACACAATTGTGTTATAGTTATGCAATGGAACTCACTGACACATGCAACAACATAGATAAGTCTCACAAACATTATTTGGAATGAAAGAAGCCAGACACAAAAGAATGCTTAATCTATAATTCCATTTTTACAAGGATCAAGAAGAGGTAAAATGAATCTGTTGAAATAGAAATCACAGTAGTGTTTGCTTGGTGGTGGGGTTGACTGGAAATGTACAAGAGGAAACTTCTAGGGTGATGGTAGACTCTAAATCTTGACCGGGATGATTCTTAAGACTCATCAAACTGTACACTTAAGATCTGTGCTGATTTACTGAATATAATTATAACTCAATTAAAAAGAAACGGAAACTATGTTGAAAACCAGGTGTTCTCAATGATTACTAGTGCAGGCAGAAATTAGTGCAACTTATTTGGTAAACAGTATTGCTATATTTATGAAGAGTTTTTAGGAACATCCATATCATGTCCCAGAAATTCCACTCAATAAATTTATACTAAATGGACACATTCTCAATTTGAAGATAGGGGCGATCTTTTTGTACAAAATTGCTTTCATGCTTGTTATTTGCAATACATAAAAATTAAAAACAGATTTTTTATTGTAAAGGGATGCTTAAATAAACTATAATGTGAATTAAATATATTAGATAATTAAATATTGTAGATAAAGCCACTAAAATGTTAATGAAGACTACATAATAACATGAAGATATACTTATAATGTTATGCCAAATGGGGAAAAACTGTTGTGAGGAAGAACTATATGTCCCATTAGTCTTCATACTAGGGTATGCAATGACTTTCCAAGAAATATACAGGCACATAATTTTTAAAAACATCAAATTCTAGATCTTTGACTCCCACATATACTCTTTCCTAAAGTTGATATGACCTGAGAATTTCTAGCTTCAAGCAGGTTCTCCTTTTCTAACTCTATTTTACGAAGAGAAGGTCTTTCTCTTCTCCTGAGTCTTGCTATGGTGAATTGTCCCAGGCTGTAAAAAAGTCTGAGACCCCTAACAAAGAAACACTTGACAATGTTGGCACTGGTATTAGGAAATGTATTGTTAATAAAGTAACAATCCTTTTCTAAGGGCAATTAACCTCTGCAAATTGGTTTGTTTCTAATTCTTTGCTTTCAAAAAATTGAAAAAGGATCTACTTGAGTTTTAGGAGGTAGATCATTAAAAATAATTTTTGTGTATGCATCACTATGTAATTTGTGACCCAGAGCTTCAGAAAGAGTTCAAAATTGAATGACATTATGTAAATACGATTTTTCAGCACTTGTATCTGTTGAATAAACTGAAAAGAATTGATGCTGAATTTTGTCTCATCTGTCAATAAATAATAATCATCTGGGGCCGGCCCCGTGGCGTAGCGGTTAAGTTTGCGCATTCTGTTTTGGTGGCCTGGGGTTTGCAGGTTCGGATCCTGGGTGTGGACCTACTCACCGCTCATCAAGCCATGCTGAGGCGGTGGCCCACATAGAAGAGTTACAACTCTATAACTATAATACACAACTATGCACAGGGCTTTGGGAAGAAAAAAGAAAAAACAGAGGAAGATTGGCAACAGACGTTAGCGCAGGGCCAATCTTCCTAAAAAAAAATAAAACAAAAGTACTAAAAGGAATAACAAGCCAAACTGCCAACTTAAGAGTTCTATCTCCAGTAAAATATCTTCAAAAATGAAGGAAAAATAAAGATTAAAAAAAAATAATAATCATCATCATCTCTGGGTGTCTGAATTAAAGGAAAAGGTCTATTCATGTCATTAAGAGATTCATTGCTAATAAAATTTGATTTTAATTCTTAATTATTCATTAAACTTTTAATATATTTATGATCCTTTGACCAACTGTATACTAATAAAAATGACAATATAAATAATTAAGAAATTAAAAGAAAATGCAGCCTTATGGTCAGAAGAAATGAAAACAACTTAAATTTCAATGCAGTATATCTACTTTTCAGTTGCAGAGAAGAATGAATTGATCAATGAAAGACTTTTTAGGCATACAAATACATTATGTTTGGATATATTTTTATGGAAATACATAAAATATCTGTATAAAAAGTGGAATGGGAATATGAATTCAAGGAAAAAGCAAAAGATATAAAATTTCAATCCATTAAAAAAGAGATTTTTTTTTAATGGATGATATTAGGTATCAAGTCACTATTCTATTGGGTATATTGAAAAAATTGTGTAACAATTTCATTTTAAACTGTCAATATTTACAATGTGCCTTAAGGTGCATCCCTTGCAACTATTTAAAATTATAATAAAAATTTTTATTTATCAGCCTAAAAATTTGTGTTTATTTATGGAGTTTTGTGAAATTTATTTGGGGCTATAGAAGCAAAAACGAATAAGCAACTTACAGATATAATTACAATTTTATTTTTAAATTATCTCAAACGAATAAACAAACTAAAAAAGTATGATCTTCAAAAAGACTGGAAGGATTACTCCAAAATGGTAATGATTATATTTGGATACTGGGAATAAAAATTTTCCCTCTTCTACTAATTTACTTATTGGTTATATATTTTCCTCAATGGCTTTATTAGATTAAATTCCTCTCATAATAAAAATAAACTTGAGACATTTAGAAATAATTAGGTATAAATTTAAATTCAGTGACCTCTAAGGGCCCTAAGAATCTTCTTCTGAGGCAAAGTCCACAAGTTTTAGGGTTTCCACCTTGTAATAACTGTTTCAGCAGTTCCTGCAGTTTTTATTTATTATGGGATTTTTGGCAGTAATACAAATGACTGAGTTTGCTAAAAGACTGTTGTCTGCCAATTAAAACATTTTGGTGTCTGCCACATTTTCCCTTTTGATCTGACATGTTCAATCTAAAATTGATTGGGAGGTTTACAAATATTTAGATTCTGTCTTGCCTTATCTCAGCCTCTTTCACAAACTCCGATATTCTTATCTCTTACCAAAGAATAGTGACTCACAAGGTTACACAACTATCAGTAGCAAAGTTAATCGGAATCAAGATCTAAATTGATTTTCTGTTTTCTGAATTCCTCCACACATGGAGTGAAAGACTTTAACGAACCAGGAAGAGCAAGGAGATTATTAACAAGTGAATGGAAGGCAATTATTTGCTGTTAGTGTCTGTCAAGTCAATCCCCACTCCCAGTGACCTGTATGCAGCAGAGCGGAACCCCGTCTGGTCTTTTTGAGCCATCCTCTCACCTTTTGATGCTATATCAGGCAATGCTCAGCTGCTATTCATAGGGTTTTCACAGTCAATTTTTTTCTGAAGTGGGTGGTCCCAGTCTGTCTTAGTTTGGAGGCTCTGCTGAAACCTGTCCACTATGGGTGACTCTACTGGTATTTGAAATGCTGGTGGCATAGCTTTTAGCATCACAGCAAATGCAGCTGCCACAGCGTAACAACCAATAGAAGGGTGGTGAGAGCCCCAAATCTTAATGACTAGACCGCTGGGGCTGGCAAAGAAATCATTATACAACAGGATATCCAGGCCTACAAATTTCAGATTTGAGGATTAAGCACCTTTGTGTAAAACAAAGAAGGACTAGTCAATTTTGATAGGATCTTCAAATAGAATTGAGAGGCCAATTGTTCTGTGCTCCAAGTCCAGAGGCAGCAGAAGAGAAAAGAGTTTTAGGATGAAAGGGAGATAAAACGCCCAATAAAGAAAAGAAAAATAAATAGCAAACATCTAGAGGGCACTATATTTTCATGGTTCTTCTACAATATTAAGGAGAAAGGACTTGAACTCTGAAAAACTGTTGCTTCAAAATTTTAAAAATGAGATAGATAACAAAGGAGAAGCTGTGAAAGAAATTTTTCCCCCAATTCTTTTACAAAGTCAGAGACATAGGATAGGCCAGTGAAGGGACATTAAAGCAAGCTGTATTAGAGTAAAATGACTCCTTTAACATCATATTCCCATCTCTAAATTTAGTTCTACACTATCATATTTCCAGTCTGAATTGTTAAGTGTACTAAAGTGTTATATATTTGAACTCATTTCTTTTTTCAGACATAAAAAAGTCTGGTAACAACTTCTTTCTTATTTCTACACACAGAAAATAAAGAATAAGTATAGTGTAAAAAACAAAGAAAAAACAACTGTTTGGCTTTTATATATAGAATTAAAGGACAATCATTTAATCTCTCAATGTCTGGGGTGTTGTTAGTCCATCAGGTTGGCTCATCCTCATCTCCCCAGCCTTGAATGCAGGTCTACAATTATGAGGGTTGGAGGAGCATGTTACTCTTAAATAACATCCACATTAATATGAACCACATTTTCACTCCTCACCCAGTAAGGCTATTTATCACAAAACAGCAGAAAAGGAGAATGATGTGTCCTTCACAAAGTACTAGAAGGGTATTCATAATTTTCATAAGCAGGACTGTCACTTAGGACACTGACTCCTGCCAATCACTTAGCCCCACAATTTCCTGTGGATGACCTTGCTCGCAAGAAAGACTATTCACACTCAAGGCCATTGAAATGAGACAATAAAAGGCTTTTTGAAAATGCTAACCAGTTTTTAAAACATTATCCAAAACTCTAGGTCCACAAGTCAAAAGAAAGTTCTCTCAAATCCATAAAAGTATCTGTCACTTGGCTTTCCCAGATGTAGATTTATGATACCTCCTCTCAATAAGATTCAAATATAGTGACGTCTGCTTTCTAAATGCTACAGCTTTCTGAAAGGGAAAGCTCATCGCAACCTGCCTAGAAAACTCTGCAATGTATCTTATCCATCTGGAGTGGTCACATTATACTCTTGTTATCTCTTGCTTAACCTAATAGAATCAAAACACAATGTTCCTCACCAACATGTAAAGTCCTGTACCTCCAAGTATTTCCCATGTCTCATTGAAATACCGTGACCCAGGCTCTGCAAACAGATCAATAGTCATTACCCAATCTCTGTAGTCTCTGGGGGTCTGTCTTTCAGGGCTGGGAGCTTCAGGTTGATTCCAGCTCCTTCCACAGGCAGCTGTCAGTGGCGCATGCTCTGTTCGAAACAGCCCAGGAGATGTTGCAACCAGAAATTTCTCAACAGGATGCAGATTAATTATGGTTTCAAATATGACAGATGCCGCCCATGCAACCTCGTGGGTGAATTCTTAGCCAGTGTTGAAAAAAGAGTGTTAATGGACTAAAATCCCTGCTCCTGCCAAGCCAGTCCCCAAGTTCTGTGAATCAAGGGTTAGATGAATTGGAAGCTTCTCAGTAGAATATAAACTATCTATTCAGAAAATAATTTTCACCCAAGGATGGATGTAATGACCTAGTCATACAAGCATTTCTATAAAATGCCTAATCCCCCACATCCTCCAACTGCAACGCCTGTAATGCTATTCATTCCCAATGACTGCTTTGGCTTTCCTAAATTTCCTCTACCTTGTTATGTAAATTGGGTGTTAGAATTGGCAGGAAATGAGGAAAATGTATCCAATTCTTTCAACTGAAACCTAGAAAGATAGTGTCTCATTCAAGATCTCCAGCTAGCTAAAGGCAAAAACACTTTTTTCCTTCTCTCTAACCAGTCTGTTTCCTACTCCCTAAGCAGCTCCTGTGTCTGCACTGGGTACAGATTTGCTGTTAGATAACCTGTAAGGAATTTTAGAACTGCATAGATTTCTATTCTCTGTTTTCATAATTATGAGGGTGCAGGTCTAATTCGGTTAAATTAAACCTACAAAACTTCTAAAATGATTCCCAAACTAATGTTTTATATGCTTAAAATTCATCTGAAGAGCAAGAAGAGTATTTCTGAATTAATTCCTGAATTTTCCTCATTGGTTCAGGCATGTCTACGTCCACTCAAAGCATAGGACATGGCTGCAAACACACTTGTATCAGAACTTGCATTTCAGTCAGGTGGCTAGAAGTTAATGGCATTAGGTTGATTTAAAAAACTTCAAGTTTCTTTGGATTGTGTCTATTTATAATTAGATTGGGGTCAATTTGACTCAAAATTGTAGTTGGAATTGGTTTTGCTTCTGTTACCATAATAGTTTCATTTAAATTTTAATTAAATTTAAAATTTTTTATGGATTTATTTGCTTTATTAAAAAAGTCTTAGATCCTTATGTTTTTCACAGGCAATTATTCCACTCACAAAGTAATATATTCTGCTAGCATGCCATTTTGTGTCTCTGAAAGAAAATCAAAACCATCTGGAAAGATAGGGTATGTATTGGCAACATATAAACAACTGGAATCTAATCTATGCTAGAAAATCAGATATTCTTGGGCAAAAGAAATGGAAAAGTGGAGGTTTCAAGTATTGCATAGTTGATATTGAACAATTTTACCAAAAATTTTTCCCCAGTGCATCCTTTACCCAAAGCAAATCCAAATCATTGTAGTTTGGAGATTTTATAGTGAATGAGTCATTCATCCATATAAGGGCCCTCTACTCTTTTGTTTATTCTTAACTAGTTTAGCTTTAACTTTTGTCCCTGATCCCCATTCCCACACATTCAACCTCCATTTTATTCTAAAATATCATTATAACATATCACTTTAAGGTAGATAGTTATTAGGGACAAGAATGAGATTTATTATAAAATACCATATGAAAAATTCTGACAATTATTCTACTGGATGATCATATGGTATTTTATAATAAATCTCATTCTTGTCCCTATTTTTCTTACTCTGCACTATAACAGATCGGGCTCCGTACTGTGTGAGGGCCAGTGTAAAATAAGAATGCGGGGCCCCTTGTTAAAAAGTTACAAAAAATTTCAAGATGACGACAGCAGGGTTGTAAACAAAGTATGAGGCCCTCCTAAGCACAGGGCCTGTGCTGTTGCACATGTCACACATCTATCAAGTCAGCCCCTCCTGTGAGAAAACAGCATGTTCCAGCATGTACATACGGTTTGTTTCTTCTTACTGTCCCATAGATTTTCAAAATATCCACCTTTTAAATGTTCTGTCTCCCAGGAATAGACCATTTCATTTCCTCAAATTCTCTACTCTTACAAACTTCAGCATTTATGCTTCCCATTATGGAATTACGTGAGAATTTCTTTGAGACATATTTCTAGGAATGGGATCTTTTGGTCATAGGTCATACGGTTGTTCAATTTTACAATATGCTGCCAGATTGTTCTAGAATAGGCTGTGTGCTCCCATCAACAGTGCTGAGGGTACCCATTTCTCTACCTATTTAGTTCGCAAGCTGTGATGTTGCAAATATCTCTGTCAGTCTGTCATTTCTCTATTCATTTCATCTAGGATTCAACTCATTGAACAGAAATCCAACTCTGTTTACATATTTACTTTTACATTAATATTTGTGCTTTTGGAATTCTTCTTTAAACTTGTATCTCAACCCCTAGATCATGAAATAACAGGGCAAAGGTGTTTCCCTCCCCCATCTTAGTCCTGTGGTGGCTTTAGGGCCCTCAGAGGGGGCAGGGCCCATCCCGCTCTTTTGCTTCTCCTCCTGCCTTATCACACTGAAGGAGTAGGTGTTCTTCCAGGAACACCACGTCTCCTCCTTCCATCAAGATTCCTAAGACCTCCAGGGTATGAGGGCAGAGGAAAAGAACAGAGTAATTCCTGCTTTACCCGTGCTGTGGGCAGATACTGATACTGGTGCCCAAGGTATTTACCCAGCTGCTGGTGTTCTAGTGTTAGGAAGGTCTTAAAGGGAATGAAACATTTAGAGTGGAGTGGAGCTGGGTCCCCACTCCGAACACGTTTTAAAATCTATGTGACAACACGGATGGACATTGAGGGTACTATGCAAAGTGAAATAAGTCAGAGGGAGAAGGTCAAATACCGTATGATTTCCTTCATTAAATAGTAGATAACAACAACAATAAACAAACACATAGAGACAGAGATTGGATTGGTGGTTACCAGAGGGGAAGGGGGGAGGGAGGAGGGCGAAAGGGATAATTTGGCACATGTGTGTGGTGATGGGTTGTAATTAGTATTTGGGTGGTGGACATGATGTAATCTATGCAGAAATAGAAGTATAATGATGTACACCTGAAATTTATACAATGTTATAAACCAATGTTACTGCAATAAACAAAAAATTAAAACAAACAAACAAAAAAATCTATGCCTAGAGGATTTTTAGGGCAATGAAAATACTCTGTATGATACTATAACTATCCTCTGTGTGAAACAGGTCATTATATGTTTGTCTAAACCCATAGAATGCACAGCACCACAAATAAACAGTAATATAAACCATGGACTTTGGGTGATTATGATGTATGAATGTAGGCTCATCAATTATAACAAATGTACCACATTGGTGGGGCATGTCGACAATAGGGGAAGCTGTGCATGTGTAGAAGCAGATGGTATATGAGAAATTTCTGTATCTTCTGCTCAATTTTGCTTAAGACTTAAAAAAAAAATCTATGCCTTTAAGTCTGAACAAGGAATTTGGCATTGTGTCCTCAAGGAGGTTAAATTCCCCGATGTTTGCATAATGACTTCTCTTGTTTTGATTTATTGCTTTGGTGTACCATCCCCTGAGGTTTGCATTTTTATGGGCCTGTTGGTAGGGACCCAGGCTATCTGTGAGGTTTAGGATCTCTATTTTAGGGAATGTAATCCTTCAATTCTGTGCACTGAATACCTTCTGAATGTGCCTGTCTGTACATGCACCTGGTATCCTGAATGGCTGGAATATACTGGAGATTATGAGTCAGAGGGAAACAAGGCCCACGGACAAGACAAACATCAAAACTTACTCCCTCTGCTAATGACTAGAGTAATTCATTAAGGCATGTGGATTTTCCTAGGTAGAGGGTGTTAATTTTGAAAAGACTGAAGAAGATCTGAGTATTTTGTTGAATCTAAGATGCCCTCATTTGTAAAAGGTACCACTCATTATATTATGTACTCCTAGGAAAGAAAGACAATGTCAATTGTATTTGTAAGACATCATCAACTGTAAAGAGCTTTCAAAATGTACAAAAATGCACTTTGGAATCAATGAAATATAGTTTATTATAATGCAGAAATCATAAAATCTTTGTAAATATTTTCTTTATGAATCAGATTTACCTATGATTAAAATACTCGCGTGCTTTGGCACATCATGAAGTGAAATCACCTAGGATTCTGCAAGCCCCAAAGGTCTTTTCTTTTGATTATGTAGGGGCTTTAAGAGGCCACAGCTATTGGGAAAGGGTCCTGAGGCTGGTAACCCATTAACTTTAATTATCACCTAAACTCTATTTGGTAAATATTATAACGTTCATTTTACAGATGAGGAAACTAAAATTCAGGGAGATTATAACATGCTTAGAGAACTAGCAGATGAAGGATAAATAACATGACATTTAACCGCTCATCAAGACATTTAATTCATAGAGCACCAAATGACTGAGTGCCCTATTATACAGGTATTTGATATTTTGCTATAGGTCTCATAGTTCAAATAGCCCTCTGTAGACACAATCTATATGTTCTGAAATATAGATTTATTTACTTAATAGATATATTTGCTGAGCTCCTACTGTCTACGAGGTATTTTCCCAGGCAGTGGAGATCCAGCCTTGAACAGATAAAAATCCTTACCCTTGTTGAACTTACATTCTAGACACAGGCAAGTGGGCACATGGCTAATTTTCAACATTGATTTAACTCAGCATAAGGTTTTACCAGACAAATAAATAAAAGCACAGTACCGTAGAGTTGTGCTTCTCAAACTTTAAGGTGCATACAAATCACCTGGGGATCTTGTAAAATGCAGATTCTGATTCTGTTAGTCAGGCTGCAGTCTGAGAGTCTCTGTTTCTAACAAGCTCCTATATGATACCAAAATGTTACTAGAGCTTGGACCAGACTTTGACTAGCAAGGCTAGGGTGGAAGCAAGGAGGTTGGGAAAAAGTGCCTAGATTTGAATTTTGACTCTGTGGCTTTAGCAAGTTCCTCTGGCATTTGTTTGTTTGTTTGCTCGTTTTTGATAATGAGTACAATTACGATGATGTAGCTACCATTTATTGAGCATCAACTATGGGCCAGGCACTGAGCTAAGG